GTTAGAAAAATAAGCTGTGTTTAGAGCTAAGAAAGTGATGGTTTGTTCTCTTCGTGATGTGAAAACAAACAGAAAAAAACACAGGCTTTCATGAAAATGGCATCACACCTAGGCCTGTGTGCCTGCTCAGTTGATTTCTGAGGTTAAGGTGACATGGATGAAGAACTACTAGCTAGATCTACTACTTGTGCCTATCAGCTTGTTCCTCATTAAGAGAAATGTCTTTAATCAAACTGGGCTCCTGTCTTCAGCCTCTTGAGATCCCAAAGATCACACTCTGTCCATGTTGCCATAGGAAAGCACATAGCTCAGCAATTTTCACATAAACTAAATGGCAAACCACAAGAACTTGGAAAGTACAGGTGAGTTGGAGGAAAGGTACTAGGAAACTTCAGAGTTCAGGGTTTGAAATGAAAAAGGCCCTTGTTCTAGAATGTGACTCACAGAACTATATGGATTTTTAAATTTTAGCACTTTAATGTTTTTCAAGTCCCTCTCTACATGCGGATGCAAATAGTATGTGTTACAAATCTTTGCACACATTTACTTGTTTTCCTGTCAAAGCAAAGTAATTGTGCTTGGGTAGATAATGAAGATTGCTGATTACAAAACAAGTACTCTCCAGCACCATGAGTATGGTGGGAAGTACTGGACTAAAGCAAACACAATGTACACACAGACACAGTAACTGATGGACAAAGAAAGAACCAGTGGCTATGAATGGTGTCAGAACACCAGGTAAGTAAGATACAAGTAAGATACAATGGATCAGTTCCTCTTCAGGGTGCTCTTTGGTCAAGGGAGCCTAGCTTCCAGGAGTCACTTGGATTTCTTTCTGAGCAGATTTTTGGTATTGTTTGCTGTGTCATCTCCGCACTTCTACTTAGTAATCTGTTGTCCTTCCATCCCTTCCCTCCATACTGATTCAAGGGACAAACAACTGTCCCATAGTATTTCCAAAGCCACTTCTGAGTATAACTTAAGAGCCAAGAGAAAGGTCAGCCTCTTGTGTGACTCCTCTATTCAACTTTCACAACTGATCAGCTTCTCAAATATCCTTCATTATGTTCAACCCCACTACCACAGTCATCATCTCTGATATAATTACAGCTCTTAGGATCTCTTGACTGAACTGCTGTAGTGGTTTCTAATTGGTCTCTTGGTTTCTAGCCCATGATTCCCACATCTACCTTCTACACTGACCCCCAAAAGAATCTTTCTGAACTGCTGATATCATTTTGTTACTGAAAATCTGCAGTGAGACTTTTTTTGAGTGCTGTTTTAGGTTCAAGGCTGGAGATAACGAGATTGCTCTAAATAGCCCCATCCCAAACCCTGAATCACAGCCTTACAAGTAGTTTTTATACAGATTCTAACAACCGGTTTCATCTCTGTCTTCAGTCATCAACTAGAAACTCCTTGAGGGCTAGGCATGGGATTTATTCTTCTTTATTCCCCAGTGTCCAACCTAGGGCCTGCTGGCTTGCTCAAAAGAGCAAGTAAGAAAATTTGAAGCAAGAAAATGCAGAGGCGGTATGACACAGAAACATTAGCTGACTGGTTGGATCTGAAAAGCCATGCCCTATTCAGAATGGCTCACGTGCCTAACAGATGTGCCCAAGGATCACTTTACAATTGGGGCCAAAGATTAGAGGCTCGAGGGGGTAGGTGTGGGGCCTTCTGAGACCTAGATAAAATTGGTACAATATGTTGCATAGGTAATAGAGTAAATAGTCTGTTTTAATAGCTGAACTAGATTCTGAGATTTGTTACCAGGCAAAAGATATTTAAGTTTTAAAATATATCCTGGTATGCTTGCTAGAGTAGATTCATCCTAAGTAAGAATGAAATTGCCTTAATTTTTAAGGAGAATTAAAAAAAAAACAGGTTTAAACCTGCTAGGCAAAACATGATCCTAACTGGGAGAAGTACTTTATCAAAGGGCATGTGGTTGGTGGCCACTATTAAGGCAGGGACATTGCTTTTAACTTACACAATTACAACAAAAGTCTCTTTGTGGTCCCAGTGTGTTGCCTCAATAAATGTCCACAACGATAAAATCCAAGTCCTCTAGAGCCAGAGGGTTCAGGGGCCATCCAAATGAACTCTATAACCGTATTATGAAGAAGATTAAAAGAGAGACCTCCCAAACTAAAACACTTTGTTGTTTCAGCAAAAATTGCTGTATTTATGCCCTAAGATAGACTTTGAAAGAATTCAATTATCACTCAGAATACACTTTGGTAATATATAAGGAGGTAATACACTACACTTAGGGGTTTTCCTTCCTTCCCCCTTTTTTTGTTTGTGTGCCAGTATGACTTGATCCTAAGGGACCTGGGTGGGTGTTGTCCTTTAACTTTTTCACTCAAGACAGAGTTCTATCACTTGAGCCAGTTTTTTCCCCAGCTTTTGGTAGTTTAGTGGAGATAAGAGTCTCACAGACTTTCCTCCACAGGCTTGTTTTGAACTGCAGTCCTCAGATCTCAGCCTCTTGAGTAGCTAGGATTATAGGCCTGAGCTACTAGTACTTGGCCTTCTCTCCTTCCTTTCCTTTCTTTCCCCTCCCCTCCTCTCTTCTCCTTTTGTCTTTCTCTGCACTACTCAAATCTATCAGAGGACCTGAATTTATTCTGGGGCAGGGGCAAAAGAAAAAAGGAACACACACACACACACACACACACACACACACACACACACACACACACACACACACACACACACACACACACATTCTTTTTGTATGAAGAAAACCCATTATGTCCACTTAAAAAAAAAAGGATGGTAAATCTAAAACATTTAAAAATTTCCAAAACAAAGTACAGTTCCTTTGGACAGCCTCTGAAAAGCTAATTATGTTGCACTGACTAAAGTTTCATGCAATCTCTACGGATAAGACTTCTTTCAGAATCAGAAGGCAGAACATGGAGAGGCAGGAAGAAAGGAATTCATCAAGTATGTTAATTCTGTATGATGCATTGATTTGTTTTATGTGTATATGTTTCTACTTTATTTTTTTTTTAGAACTAGGTATGGCTTGGGGAGTAATTCAGTGATAGAGTATGTACTTAACATGACTGAGACTCTTTGTTAAACTCCAGCACTGATTGCAAAAGCAAAACAGAACAAAATCAGAAGTCTAAAGATACTACTTCTACCCACTGATGACACAATTTTGAGACTTCTGAATGCAAGGTGGAAGATATGGAAGTTTAAACAAAATAGGTAAGGTAAAAATCCAATTCTTAGGGAAAATTAAAAACAGAACAAAACACAGCACCTCTCCATTTGAACATGGTCCTTCGCTTCTCCTGAATTTGCCTGTTATCTCCTGTACCTAGTTTGGTGGTCTAATACCTTACCCTTAGGACAACCAATTGAGACTGCTTATAACATACACTTTTTAACATGTAGGTGAGTACTCAACTAAATCTAGGACTATGTTAGTGGCAATAGAATTCATTGTTATATGCACAAAACCATAGTTAAAACTATGAGTCAGAATGGAGAGTAATATTTAATTGATTTTTTAATATCTGAATATCAATTTTTCTATCAAACATTGTGTTTTAGGGTATTTATTTTTAAGGCTCCAATCAGGCAGGATATTAGAAGAAGAAAGTTAAGTGACTCTAATTGCCCAGAACAGAAGTCTTAAAGCTGCTCTACAAGCCTGGTAGATAGCCAGGAAGTCTACAACTTCCAAGTATAAGAATCTTCCTCTTCCAACAGTGAGCTCATACTAAGTAGTGTGCTGAAAAGAGCATTAGCTAGAGCCTATGTTCTTTCTCATGATAAGCAATCTTGGAAAATCTGCCTCACTTCTAGAAGCCTCAGTTTCCCTACTTGTGGCATACTGGATAAGAGGATAGACTACAGCTTAACTGCCACATAGAGTTGTGAAATTTGAGCCATTTACTGTTCCTCTTGGATCCTCAATAATCCTTATTTTGGTAAAGCAGGGAGTAAAAATAATGTACCAGCTAGGCATGCTTATAATCCTAGCTATTCAGGAGTCTGAGATTTGAGAATCATGGCTCTCAGCCAGCTTCAGCAGAAAGTTCATAAACTGTTATCTCTGATTAACCATCAAAAACGCTTGAAGTAGACCTGTGGCTCAAGGGGTAGAACACTAACCTTGAGAAAAAAAGCCAACTGATAGTTAAATGCCCTGAGTTCAAGCCCTAGTATCAGCACAAACAAAAACAAAATACAATATACAATATCTTACAATAACCCCTAAAGGTGACTACAATGAAGAATATTGCATTAGGACTAAATGATTACTGTATGTAAACCGTGTATACAGTAGCTATGCATAGAAGATGTTTGTTGTAATAAAGAGGTCAATCAAAGCACCTACTTTGAGAACAGATGTAAATCTCCTTCAATCTTCTCTAAGTCCCTGCCAATGAGGTTAGAAAACTAAAATTCAGAAGGAATAAGTTGCACTGTTGCAACATTTCATAGGAACTAGAACAGCTGGGTTCAGAACCCATGAGAGAGCCTGAGCTCACATCTGATACTTGTAGTATAATAATACATATTTGCCTTCATTTAAACAGTATTTCCTTTGCATAAAGACATAATACCTGGACAAGTTTTCATCTCCATTTTCTTCTCCATTCTTCTGTTCGTTTTAATTCAATTCTAATTTTGCAATGCTGGGGATTACACTTGGGGCTTTGTGCATGATAGCTCCCACTGAACTATACTCCCAGCCCTCTTCAGCATCTGAGGACACAGATTGTCCTTTGCTTGCCTCCTGCCCCACAATCAGGACTCCTGACTCTGGGGAAGCTTGGTTGTGCACACTAAATTCCACAGCTGCTTGGTCCTATCCCAAAGTCTGGTTGATTAACTTGTGACTCCCATGGTTACATTAGTCTTTGACTCTACCAAAAAAAAAAATGAATTTTCTAGGTTGTCACAAGCAAAACAATGGTAGGGTCATTTTTTAAAGATAAAATTAGGCTCTTGATTCCTAAATTAGTCCTCACCTTTTTTCTTCTGGAATGTTCTCCAACAACATTTCAAGGAAAGTCTAGAATAATGGGGAAAAAAGCAATCATTAAAGATGTTCATCAATAAATAACTGCCTGAAACCATAACATACACCCAGAATTCCCAGCTGCTAATAGCTTACCTGCTAAGGGAGCTTGACCTAGACCAATTCAGTAGGCTGTAGATTTAATTTATTAATTTTCCAGGGCTTTAGTCTAATTACTTAAAGAGTTTTGTTTGTTAAAAACCACAAATACATTTAATAATTTAAATAAATTTAAAAATGTAAAGTTTGTTATTGTGACCTAACCCAATGATTTATTTCATTTTGTGTTTGGCTATTTTCCAAAGGTGGCCATTAAACAGAGCATTATCCCCTTCTTACTCATGTAAGAATTCGTCTAAATTCATAAGCTTAACCTAGATTGCCAACTGAACAATCAAACTCCAAGAGGCTAATGACAAACTTACAATGTGACTGTACTACTCTGTAGAAAAATAAATATAAAATCAAGATGATGAATATGCCAGTCAAGGAACAAAGACATCCTCAAATCCAAGGTTCAAGGGTTCCATTCTACCTGCAGCCTCTTATACTGCTATGAAAATTCTCAACTGCTGATATTTGGGATGTTGCACCATAGAATTTTTTTTAACCATACCAGGAGTGAGTAGCTTATGCCTGTAATCCTAGCTACTCAAGAGGGTGAGATCTAAGGACTATGATAGTCATAGCCCAAGCAGTAAAGTCTGTGAGACTCTTATCTCCAATTAACCACAAAAACTGGAATTAGTTGTGGTTCAAATGGTAGGACACTAACCTTGAGTGAAAAAGCTACTGGACAGCACCCAGGCCCTGACGTCAAGCCCCAGCACAAAAAGAAGAAGGAAAGAGAGGGGGAGGGAGGGGGAAAGAGGGGAGGAGGGAGGGAGAAAGAGAGAGAGAGGGGGAGGGAGGGAGAGAGAGAGAGAGGAAAGAAGGAAGGAAGGAAGGAAGGAAGGAAGGAAGGAAGGAAAGAAGGAAAGAAGGAAGGAAGGAAGGAAGGGAAAGAAAGAAGGAAAGAAAGAGAGAAGGAAAGGAAGGGAAAGGAAAGGAAATTTTAATCTAAAAGCAGGATTTTACACACACATTCTGTTTCTTTCATTAAGGAAAATTTCAAATAAAAAAGAAAAATAGACAAACTAGGATAATTAACTTTTACATACTCACCAACTCACAGCCAATCCTATGCCATTCACTTCCCTGTCTCTAATATTATTTAGAAGTAAATGCCCAGTATCATATTTTCATCAACAAATGTTTTAATAAATATTTCTGAAAGATGTGGTGTGTGTGTGTGTGTGTGTGTGTGTGTGTGTGTGTATGAGTGTGCTGGCCATGGGGTTTGAATTTAGGGTCGGGGTACTCTCTCTGAGCTTTTCTATTCAAGGCTAACACTCTACCACTTCTGGCTTTTTGGTGGAAGTGGTAGTAATTAATTGGAGATAAGAGTCTCACAAATTTACCTCCTCAGGCTAAGTTCAAACTATCTTCCTAAGATCTCATCCTACCTAGTGCCTAATGAGGTCATTATCTTTTAAAATTAAATCATTTTATTATTAAAAAATTATTTGGCTGAAGCCAGGCATTGGTGGCTCATGCCTGTAATCCTAGCTCCTTAGAAGGCTGAGATCTGAGGATTGAGGTTTGATGTCAGCCTGGGCAGGAAAGTCCTAGAGATTCTTATCTCCAAATAATAACCAGAAAACCAGAGTAGCACTGTGCTTAAAGTGGTAGAGCACTAGCCTTGAGCAAGACAGCTCAGAGACAGTGCCCAGACCTTGAGTTCAAGACCCAGAGGTGGCCAGAGGTGTGGTACAGTGGTATAGAATGTGCCTATAATTTTTAAAGAATTATTTTGCAAAATGTTGAATTTATTTATCACAATCTAATATAGTAATAGAGTTCTCTGTAAATAGGATACATTATTTTTTCATTAGCTCATTGACATATTTTGGATTCTTAAAATCCAAGTACCATTTGGATTTACTAATTATTAGTAAGACATTAGTAAGAATGTCTTACTAATTTTACTTCATTATCTCCTTATAGCCCTACCCACCAAATGATCTCATATTTGCTTAGTAATTTATGCAAAATTATGTGGGAAAATTACATCAACTTAATGGTAAGGGGGAGAATTTAATTGCATGAAAAACAGGAAATTCATAATTAACCTTAATTCTGCCCTTTTGCCTTTTGCAATTACAATTGTGTCCTTTAACAAAACAAAACAAAACAAACCAGGATTGTAAAGCATCCCCCCATCCTGAATCCCCCCCCATCCTGAATTTCCTGTGAATATAGGGTAAGTGCAGGAGGTCCCCATGAAGCCCTGCTTTATTTCCTAAGAAGCATATTTCGTAAATAAAGCCCTTCTAACCAGGTTCCAGTAGCTCACGCCTGTAATCCTAGCTAGTTAGGAGGCTAAGCTCTCAGAATCCAGGTTCAAAGCCAAGCCAAAACAGAAAAAGTCCATGAGACTCTTATCTGTACTTAACCAATAAAAAGCCAGAACTGGAGATGTGGTTCACGTGGTAGAATGCCAGCCTTGAGTGAAAAAGCTAAGGACCCAGGCCCTGAGTTCAAGCCTTAGTACTGGTACAAAAGTATAAAATAAAATCAAACCTTGCTTTCCAGCAGGTCACCATTCTGATGCATCTGTCTCCTCTTGCTTCAGAGCTGAGACCAGCAGGTAACACAGCAGTTAGCTGAACATGCCAATCAACGTGGAAATCACAGAATCCTAGCATCTGAACATCTCTAAGTTGTTCCCACAGGCTATAGGAATGTTCCTTCTACAGGACTCGCTATGCTTCTACACTATAATCCATCCAGTTCAAGGAGATACTTGTTTCTGGTCCAAGCAAGCAGTCTTTGTACCGCCCATCAGTGGAACTGACCCAATTGTCCCTGCTTACTCCTTATAAGAACTAATCTGTAACTATGAAACATTCATTTTCCTGACTCATTTTTTTAAATTAGCATCTACCCCTGGAGTAGGCTTATGAAAAAGTCCTTCTGTACTCACCCCAATACAATGAAACAAAAAGAAATGTGTCTTAGAATTATTCCTTCCCTCACATCCTCTTTCCACTTCTTTCATCTGTCTTCACACTTTCTTTCAGCGAACTCACAGTTTTGGGAAAGCAATTTACAAATCTTACCTGGACAAGGAGATTTCCCCCATGGCTCAGTCTTTATGAACCAAGTTAGCTAGCAACAAATAAGGGTCACAATTTGTAACCTCTTCAATATGCCCATAACAAAACAACAAATAAAAGCCAAAAGCAAAACAAAAATAATATTCTGAGTAGGGTGTAGATTGAAATGGTTCCAAGGCCACATCACAGTCAGAAAATATGTTTCTTAATATTTATTTTCTTTTTAGTCTCTACTCTCCTAATAATCTATATGCTAATCAAATCAATCTCTTTTTGGTCATCACCCAATAATGCTAAATTAAGCATTATAATTTTTTAAAGAACTAACACTGATTTGGGCACATGGCTAATTTAGTCATTATTTTTCAGTCATGGTGAAAGTATTCAATAAAAAGCAGGTGCATATAGATTCTACTGGATAAACTGTCACTGGATTGGTAATTATATAGGACTAGCAATTTATATCAGATATTTTATAAGTAATTATTATGGTGTGGGAAAGAAGAAATAGGCAAAACAAATCATCAAAATGGCAAAGAAAGGACAGGATTGGCTGGGTAAAAACTGAGAAGAAATGAGATTATTAGGAAGAAGGAAGTCATTGTTAGACTTGAGAGGGGTTTGATTAGAGCTGGAGGGATGATAATACTGAAATGCTGGGGTGATGGGTAGTCAGAAGTGAAAGTACACTGCAATTGTTAGAAGTAAAGAATTCCTTTATTCAAGGAAATCTTTGATGTAAGAAAAAGCTTGAATCAAGGCCTTTCCTTGGCAATAACTAACTAGTAATGTAAACAAAAACATGACCCATAATTTTTTTTAAATTAAAAAAGTAGCAAAAACTTGGCCAGCATCATGCAAACAAGGCAAAATGTCTAGCCTGCTGGCATAAACCTCAAAAAGAGGCAACCACAAGAAGAAGGCTGAAATTCCCCCATAGTTTCCAACTCTCCCTCTGTAGTTCCCCCAATATCATGCTTAACAGTAGGAGTGCTGGTGAATTGCCAATCCCTGAAGATTCTCACAATTATCCACACATTTTGAGAGAAGTAGGCATATTTTTTAATCTTCCCTTTTATTGCAGAAGGACTAGAACTCTTTGTTGGAGATTGAGGGGCAATACACAGAAAGTAAATAGCTCAGAGTCATTCTGATAAATTGTGCAGGTGTGCTGTAGGGCTCCAATATGAATTGAAAGAACAATCTTATTTGAGGGGGCACCTGCAATGGGAGAAAAAAAACTATACCTAATATTAAGACACAGAAATCTTTGTTGTTGGTGGTCATGGGGCTTGAACTCTGGGCTTAGGCACAGTACCTGAGCTCTTCAGCTCAAGGAGAGCACTCTACCACTTGAGCCATAGCACCACTTCTGGTTTTCTCGTGATTAATTGGAGATAAGAGTCTCATGGACTTTCCTTCCCAGGCTGGCTTTGAACTGTGATCCTCAGATCTCAGCCTTTTGAGTAATTAGGATTATAGGCGTGAGCCAGCAGCACCCAGCTAAGACACAGAAATCTTGACGGGGTTTTTAATGATTTTTTTTTTAAAGAGAAGTAGAGAGAATTCATCAAACAAAGACCATATACAAGTCTATGTAGTTTCTTCCCTTCATTCATCCATGTGTAATATGAAAGTTTCAGACTGTATCTTGGAGGTAGAAAAATAAGCCTTGTATTTATCCAATATACGTAAGAATGAAAAATAAAAGATGGGGTCAGTACTAGCCATGCTGAGAGTGAGAAAAAGAAAAAGAAGACTATGTATCTATGTAACTAGAAGTATGTAAACTATTGTAACCTAGAAAGAAACATAACACCTAATAGACAAAGGGTC